CCTCTCTGCACAGATGCACCTTCTGTTCCTTCAGCGTGCCCAGCCACACGTCTTCTCAGCTCAAGGATGAAGCAGTGCAAGCTGCTTGGCTCCTCTGGATTGCTGGAGGCCATGCAGGGCCCAGGGCTCCCTGTCCCTGCGGTGTCTGGCACATCTGTTCATGCCTTCTTGGTTTAACATTTTGTTGGACACCTTAATGAACTACTTGACAAGAAGTCCTGCAGTGAGATTGCCATCTGCCCTTTCTTCTGAAAAGTCAGGAAAAATATTTCCATAATTGTTGGACTTAATATAAGCCTTGTAGGAACATAAAAGGTTACTGGCAAAAAAGTGATAGACTAGAGCATGTTTATAGCAAAGTTGTCAGGATGTGGACCAGAATTGTCCTGTACAAACCTGGTAACAGCTCTGGAGTCAGTTTTCTGCTGTGTCTTCGGGAATAGTCAGCTTAGAAGTTTTAGTGTTTGTGTTTTGAAATTTCTCCAAGGTCACAATTAATCTTGCAAATGTTACAAGTTCAGCAATGACCTGGGGTTGTCTGGCCAGCCAGTATGGCCACAGTGTATTAGAAATGCCAGCTGGCCCTTCTGAGCCTGTACTGGCCTGTTGGGAGCCAGCTGAGATGTTGTCAGATCCGTGCCGAGCCGGGCTGTGGGGCTCAGGAGCTCACCAGGGTGGCCAGCACTGCGGCTCCGACTGTGGGGCATCCAGAAGCCTTTTACTTAGAGGAACGTCTCCTGTCCCGAGCATGGATGTGGTTTGTTCTGTGAGAGAAGGGGAAGAAGTCGTTGAGGCAGTGAGGAAATGCATCCTGGTGGCTGGGTGGCCTCCCCAGAGCAGTGCTGACCTCCTCGCACAGGGAAGTGGAGCAAGGGCTCCCAAGTATTTTTTTTATACAAGTAGCGGGGGGCCAAATTTAAATTCAATTTTTAACTGAAGAGTAGTAAACTGCATTTTTCATTCAAGTTACAACACTATCACATTTTCTTCTCTTTTCCATTTCTTCCTCCTGTTATTCTTAGAGATACTTTGCTTTTTTTTGTTTGTGATATCTTTCCAGTTTGATATTTTTCATATTTTCCAAGTTTCCAAACTGACTGTGTGGCTGTTGCCAGGTCTGTGTGTATGATGAGGGCTCCCAATGTAGGTAAACCAAAATTTTAATTTAAAAATCAAAATAATTTGTGCTGTTTTTCTTACAGAGAAGTCTGTCAGAAAAGGTGAGTAGAGACTATTCTGAAGCAAAAGCAATACAACAGCCAATTCCAGCCGAGTCCTGGAACACAGTTTATACACTGCTTAACTTGGAAGGCCGAGATGGGGCTTCTCTGTTTTTGTTGTTTTTATTTTTAAACTGTGTGAAATTGTGAGGTGAGCCCTGTCCCGCTGTGCTCTGAGGAAGGTAGATGCTTCTGAGGGAGAGCCAGGCTCCAGGCAGCTCCACATTGTCAGTGGAGGATGGGCCAAGAAGGCCGAGTTGGTTATTGCTCACCTGTATGGATTTGTGCCAGCCCAGAACAGCTTGGCTCTTCCTTTAGGCTGTTGGGAACTCACATGAAGAGTCTGTGAGCTTTGTAGAGGACATAAAAATACATCAGATCGAAGTAGCTCCTCATTGCTGTAGCTGTGTTTCCTAAGAAAGGGCTCCAGCTAGGGCTGCCCCTGCTTCGTTCCCAGCGGTCTGCCTCCTAACCAGGTCCATAGACACTTAAGAGCTCTGTGGGGCAAAACCCCAACCAGCCTTGAAAATCATGGCTGTGGCTTATCTCCTTCTCCTCCTCTTCCTGATTTATGCATGACCTGCTTTTCCCATCTCAGTGTCCCAACTCTGCAGTGTTGGCTGTATAAATGGATAAAAGCTTCTGGACTGACCTGTAACTCTCTGCTTTTGTGGGAGTAAAAGCCCAGCCCGGGCAGCACAGTCCAGGGGTGGCTTGTGGTAGAATCATAGAATCATAGGGGCTGGAAGGGACCTCGAAAGATCATCTAGTCCAACCCCCCTGCCAGAGCAGGGTCACCTAGCAGCTCCCTATTTGATGCTGCAGAACTTGTTTGTGTTCTGCAATTTCAGCAGCTCTCTTCTGTAACAGACCTGAGGAGCAGCCGTACATGCTTTACAGCCAAAACTCTCTCAGCCAGCAGCAGCGAGGAATAAGTCCTTAGTCTCTTGTTCAGAGAGAAGCCAGGTCTCTGCTCTCAGGGCTCTGGGGCAGGTTTGGAACCTGACTGGTGTGCTGCACCCAGACCAGTAACTTCTGAGCAGCCCTGCCCTTGTACTTTGATAACGAGCCGTGTACTTTGCTACAGAGGATGGCAGAGCTGCAGCACTCGGGACATTACCACCGAGTGTGTGGTTGTCAGCTGGGCTGGCTGTGGGACTGTGGCAGAGACAGCAAGAAGCTTGTTAATGAGGCTAATCACGTGGTAGGTGATCCAAGCAGGACCCAAGAGCAGGGGCTGGCCACAGGCACAGCAGCAGCACTGCCCCCAAGAGCAGTCTGTCACTCGATGCTGCTCCCCGCTCTGCAGATCCACAAGGGATTTGGTCCATCTAATTTGTAGGTCCTTCAGGTGTGTGCTCTGTCAGCTGAGGTGTCCATCACTGTTCTCCCCTTAGCTCTGTGTGTGTACAGGGGCAATTTCTCTCTGCTCTGGTTGAGAGAGGCTGCAGTCATTCAGAGCTGGTAAATGAAGGAGACAGGATGTTGAAGACAAGCAGTCTGAAAGTGCCGACGGTACGGTAAAGCAGCTCTGAGAGAAGCAGCTAGGTGGAGAGAGGGGAAACAGAGCAGCAGGCGTGGCCTTGGTGTGACTGACTGGCTGCTCTGGGTCACTGGGGATTCAGCTGGCCCTCAGCACATGAGGTCAGTGAGGACGAGCACTGAACAGGAACCTGGCATTACCTGGCATGCCTGAGGGCCTCCCTTCCCGGTAGTGAGCAACCCTACAGCACCTGTTGCAGCCGAGTGGCTGCAAGAAGTGTAAAATATCACTTCCTCCTGCACAATCACAGAAATGAGCCTTCAGATCCAAGTGCTGATAGAGGCTGAAATCAAGCTAGAACCATGTCTCTCACTCTTGGCAACGTTCAGTCGTCAGAGCAGTTTTTCCAGTAGGAGCCCTGTTGAACGCACTGCTTGGCTGTGGTTCTGCTCAGCCCTAGGTGTGGGAGCACAGCAAGGAATTCAAGACTTGAAGACTTTGCCCCAACATGGAGTTGCCCTCTAGCGACCTGCAAAGGGAGTACTTGTAGTGCTGGGACCTCCCGGGGCACCTCGGAGCAGTGTGACTGGTGCCTGCAGGCCCTGCTGATTTGTGCTCCTGTCTCTTGTGAGTGGAAGAAAATATTTCAAATGAATTCACATTTGCATTTAAAAAAAAAAAAAGTGGGGACTGAAGATCCTTTAAAATCAGGTTTTATTTGTCTCCTCCACTCTCTTATGTGTAATAGAGTCCTGCTGTGTTTCTCTCCACATGCTGCTGAACGAATAGCACCACAGAAACATAACCAGTTACCTCTAGTGTACTCCTCGCTTGGACAAAGGGGACCACACAGGCTGTAGTCTTAATCCTCTCCCTTTCATGAGAGAAAAAAAATTTCTTTTGCCTATTGAATCTTCTAAAAGTTAATTTCCTGCCAAAGATAATGACTGAGGCTATGTGCTACTGCTAAAGCTTCCTGGTAAGGTTTTCTGTGCCATCTGTTTGTTTCCTCCTTGTTGGCCAAAACACGTAGTGATTAAAGGCTGTTATTACCACTTCATGGGCCTTCTTTCCTGCTGGGTAACTGCTGGTATAGTAAAAGCAGCTTTAGGCGCAGAGAGTGGTTGGTTTGGCTTTTTTTTATTTGGTGGGTGGGTTTTTTTGTTTCGTTGGTTTTTTTTTTAAATCAGTTTCAGGCACTGCAGCTTTTCTGTCCTTTGCTTTTATATCTACAGCCCGAAGTGGCTGGGTGAGCAGGCTGCTGGGCTCTGTGGGGCAAGAGCGAGGGGTTTTCCTGACCTTTGTTTTTACATCTACACCAACAGCAGCCACAAGCTGCAGCAAGAGCCCTCTGCACGCAGGTCCTACCTGTGTCCTCCTGTCTGGCTCCTTTCCTGCTGCAAGTGGGTCAAAGTGCACTGCTGCCAGGGCTACCTCAGCACGGCCTGGGCCCGGGCAGGAGCTCACACGGCATCACGTCCCACACCTGGAATTCCCCAGGGGCTGGGCAGGACAGACAATGAACACAGGGGTGCCATGTCTCTCTCAGTGCCTCTGATTTTGGCACTGGTTACCCAGTACCATGTCGTGGCAAATCTTTGCAGAACAGGCAGTAGCTGGAAAAGGCACAAGGAGAGCTGCTGACTTCACTGAACAGCAAAGTCGGTTTGCAGCTACCAAACCAGACCAAGGTTTAGGAAAAGCCCTGCACTGCCCCCCAAGGAGAGGCTGGCTCCTCACAGGCACCACTCACAACCTGAGGTATGGCTGGCCACGCACCAGACTTTGTCCAAAGAAGAGTCAGCACATTTCTAACAAGAGGGTCAGTGAATCATTGGTGAGGAAAAATAGCCATCGCTACCCTCCTTCAAGAGGGCCAAGAGTCAATGACTGCTAAGAGGCACGTTGAGGCGGGGCTTGCCCTCAGCTGCGGTAAGCCTTCAGCAGCTGCCCTGCTATCACCAGCCTCTGGATCTCACTGGTCCCCTCGTAGATCTCGGTGATCCGCGCGTCGCGGTAGTGCCGCTCCGCGGGCATCTCCGTCACGTAGCCCATCCCACCCAGGATCTGCATGGCCTGCAACAAGGGGACCAGTGTCAAGGGATTCGTTTTGTACAGAACACAGCCACCTTAAGAGGAGCTAAGCCCCCTGCAAGCATAACTTGGGGGGAGGAGTGGCACAGGGGGATGCCTGCAGCCTCTCTGCAATCAGAGGAATCAGGACTTGAACTGGGCAAGAGCAATACTGGTGTCCCAGACAATTGCTTCAGAGGTATTTGTTAGTGATCCATGTTCAGCTAAGACACAAAAAAGGGCAGGAGGAAAAATAAAAAAATAAATGCAGCCACCAGAAGCCCTGCTCTCTTTGTTCAAATCTCCTTTTAGTCCTGCCTGGTGCACCCATGCACCCGCCCACATTGCTGATTCTGCTCAAAACTGTTTTTTGAGTTTCTGAGGGCCCTAGACAGCAGCAGGCACAAGAAGACTTTGAAAATACAGCTGCCATATACCAGCATAAACCCCTTCCCACCCCTGATCCCCCCACCCCAGGGAGATGGCTGTGCTAACCAGCTTCAGCCAGAGGGGCTGGTTTGTTCGAAAAAAAATAATCTAGTAAATTCCATCCCCCCTTCCCAAGTCCTTGTGTGGCAACACCAGCTCCCTGCCTGCTGTATATCAGAGATGTCTGTTAAGCAGTTACCTGATGAGAGATGGCTGTTGCAGCTTCTGATGCAGCCAGTTTGGCCATCGCCGCTTCCTTTGGGAAGGAAAACATCACTGAGGGTGCAGTTGTCACAAAAAGGAAGACCTCACTTGCATGAGGAGCTGGAAGGCTCACAGACCAGCCGTGCAAAAAAAGCCGTGCAGAGACAGGTCTGATGGTCGGTGACAGCAGCCACCCCACTCCCCTTAGCTAAGCCCAGGGCTCTAGGCTGCTGGTAAGACACCGAAGTCCAGTATCTGCTGGGGTTACACCCCGACAGCGCTGGCGGGGCAAGCGCTGACCAGCAGTGCCGAGCAGGGGGAGGCTTTCCTGCCTGGAGCCTGTGCCCCATGCTGCCACCGCCAGAAGGCAGGGAGGGGGATACCTTTGTGAAGGGCTTCCCGTTGTCCTTCAGCATGGCGGCTCTCCAGGTCAGCAGGCGCGCGCCCTCCAAGGCCACGGCCATGTCTGCCAGCTTGAACTGCAACGACAGCGCACCGTCTGCCCGGCGCCAGGCCCCACCAGCACCGGCAGGCACCGCCCCGGCCCTCCAGCTGATACCTGCACCGCCTGCAGCTTCGTGATGGGCGCCCCAAAGGCCAGCCTCTTCTCAGCATAGTCCACAGCGCAGTCCAGAGCCGCCTGCGCGATGCCGAGCGCCTGGGAGGCGACGCCGATCCGCCCCCCGTCCAGCGTTTGCTGCACAAGGCACAAGCACTCGTGGTAAGTCAAGGCACTTGTGACCAGCAATAGCACACACAGCTCTGAGCTCGCTGGAGAGCTGCTGGAGCCTTTGCATCCTCTGGTCAGAGACCCTGCGTCGGAATATTCAGAGTTACGCAAGAACAGGGAGCTACAGAACGTACTGAGCACTGCCGAGAGCAGCCAGGGGTACAAGAGGGAAAGGAAATGAAGATGTATTGCTTCTTATTAGCTGGGGGAAAAAAAGAAGGGGTTGCATATTAGGGGAACAGCACAAGGACCATCTGCTCTGGAGGGAGCTGAAAAGAACCCTTCAGCTAGACACCTGGTCACTGTGCAGCTGATCTTACTGTAGCTGGGAAAAAAAAACAAAAACACAACCACCACCACCACCACCACCAAAAAACCCACAATGGACATCTGGTCCATTTTTCTCTTTGTTCTCATTAGTACACACACTGAAGCATCTTTCAAACTGATTAGTGAATTGAGTCAATAGTCTGACTTACCTCCAACACCTGCCCACTAGGATCTTAACAGCCTCACTATGCACTGAAAGAATTCACAGCACAGTAAGAAAGACCTCCAACCTCTCTGTCCTGGGCTGACTATCTTAAAGTGGTTAGTGACTGGCAGGTTCTTTCAGTTTTGGACATAATGGAAGAGGCTGTTCTCCAGGGAGCTCCCCTTTTTCAGAAAGTCAGAACAAGCAGTTGGGAGTTGTTTTGCCCCTACAGTGAGTGCAGCAAACTCTTCCAAGGTGGGGGGAGGGGAGGTGTCCCTGCAGGGAACACGCTGTTCCGCAGCTGCCTCGCTCCTTAGGAGTCATACACGTGCTGTAACTCAGATTTCAGCCACCTTTAGACACTACCCAGAGGCTGGCCTGGGCTTCCAGGGAAGCTTTCCTCTCCCACAGTACTCAGGGAAAATGCTGTGTTTCCCCTTTATCTATGGGAGTACAAACTGGGGAGGCTTGGGAAAGGAATTAAAATACAACACCCCTGCTGACACACCACCTCAACAGCATCAGCATTCCTTCACCTAAGACCCCCTTTATGTCCGGCCTACAACAAAAGTGCTGTCAAGGCTCTGTGGTGAATTAATGATTCCTCAGACACCATGAATGATTTCTGCCATGCTGGCAAGAGGGGTCGCCTGCTTAATATGACACAGAACTGCTTACGCTAGCAGTTCTCACCAAAGCCACTGCAAGTCTGAATGGTTTTGAAATCAGCAAGCTTGGGAACTACAGCTTTACACAAGCCCAGCTGTCCCGATCCTCCTCTTACCATGGCGATTTTGAAGCCCATTCCCAGCTGCCCCAGCAGATTTGCCTTGGGTATCCGACAGTCCTCAAATATCAGGTTGGCAGTGGAAGAGGCTCGGATTCCCAGCTTGTCTTCCTTCTTCCCCAGCGACAGCCCAGCAGTTGGCATGGGAACCAGGAACGCACTAATGCCCTGCAACAAGACCCAAACTCTTAGTAGTGCAGACTTCCCACTTACCTGGCTATCAACAGACTTTCTTCAAACATTCTTCATAGAAACTATCTATCTAAGGAACCAGGAGAAGGGAGGGGAGAGCTGAGACAGAACAATGCCAGCGCTCACCAGCCCCTCCTCTGCTCTAAATCCCAAGTCCCTAGAGCCTCTTCAGCTGCACAACTCCTTGACTCCCATCCCTTTTCCCTGCCTCACCCACTGCAAGCACCTTGTGCTTCAGGGCTTTCTCCGTAGTAGCAAACACCACAGCGGCCGAGGCGTCCCAGGCGTTGGTGATCCAGGCCTTGGTGCCGTTCAGCACCCACTCCTCCCCATCCAGGCGTGCCACCGTGGATGCCGCACCCGCGTCGCTGCCGTTTCCTGAGCAGGGCACCAGCAAACAAAACTCAGGCCACCACGGCAGCCTGGGATGCAAAGCCACCCCTGCCAGCACCCCCGTCAGCTCGCTGCAGCAGTGCCTCCACCATCCCTCCCACAGGACCCAAACGGGAAGGGGAAAGGCCCACGCATCCAAGATGGGTCCATCTCCAGAGGAGATGAAAATTTTCAGCACAGCCCATGGAAATGTCAGTTGATACCTTGGGCTCCGAGACTTCATTTACACAGAACTGCTATAAACCACCTTTCGACAAACTGTTACAATTTCACAGACCTAAAGTCCATCCTAAACCTGAGGAAAGAAGTCTACTACCCTATGCTCTTTGCAGCAGAAAGGGCAACAGTCACATCACCTGGTTCACTAAGGGCAAAACATCCAATCTTCTCTCCACTAGTGAAGGGCGCAATCCATTTGTGCTTCTGTTCTTCAGAGCCAAATTTGAGTATTGGCCCTAAATACAGAGACTTTAGGAATGGAGAGCGGAATTAGTGCCTCACGAGGGTATAAGCAATGCAGTAACTCCCTAACGTCCAACAGAGCAGGACCCACCCCAAGCCCAGATCCCATTTCTCCCACACCCCCCCCCAAGGCCCGCCAGCCCTCGCCCCCAGGGCAGACTCACGTTGTTGACGCTGAGGATGATGCCGGTGGACGCGCAGCCCCGGCTGATCTCCTCCACCGCAATGGAATAGGCCAGGTAGTCGAGACCTGCTCCCTTGTACTTCTCTGGCACGTCCATAGCCAGCAGCCCCAAGCCACCCATCTTCTTCACCTGCACGTAGGAAACTGAGAAGTAGGGTCCTCTGCACCACCAGTGTCCCAACAAATACACCCAGACACATGGAGATACAGACAGGTCAGAGCAGGGCTGGAGGTGGAGGAGAGATGTGCACCACTCCTGGTGAAATGAGAACCTGACTGTACAAACTGGCAAGTGTCCCCAGGTCCCAATGACTTCAACAGGAGCTGTACACAGTCGCTGCTGCCTAAGATGAGGCTCTTGCTTATCTACTGAGCTCTCTTCAGTACTGGGAAGAAGGGAGCCTTCTGACAGTGAAATAGGGAGATACAAGGCCACCAGCATTTCCTCAGCCCCCCATCAACACTTTTCCTCTCACATCTCCTGTCAGCTGGAAGCTCTCAATAGGAAACCTAGCTGGTAAAAATCATTAGAACTTTACCTTTGAGTCTGCTAAGCTTCAGCCTAGGACTCCACAAGGAAAGAATTTTACACAATAAATGCCCCATGAACCTGTTTGCAAGAAGGTGATTTTTGATTCCCATTAAAGCCAGGCCTTGCTTCCCAGAGAATCTAGTTGTTGGTTACATGCCAATTATTCCACCCCAAGTTCTTCATCTGGACCCCTGGCTTCTTAACTGTCACCTCTTCAGAGCACTGACTGTCTCACTCTAGGTCTCTCGGGTAAGAACAGTGAAGAGGAAAGTATTTTCTTTGTTACTGTATGACTTTCCTGGCTATCTTCCTTATTCCTCAACAGAGGCATGTGACAAAACATGCATGCCTCTGTCTGCTTGCTGGAAGCCTTTACAGTACCTGTTTCTCTGGAGCTTGGTATTTCCTTGCAATGAAATAGATGAGTTACTCTGCTCAGCGGGGCCCAGGGGGTACTGCTGTGTCTGTACAGCCTTCCACAAGAGCAATCACAAGTTTGACTGGAATCTCACTTTCCTCACAGCCCCAGAGGATGACCAACATACATCTCTTATGCCCTGACCTCTTCACCATCTGAAGTGCACTCAGCTCATCTATGCTTCCTCACCACGAACCATTTTTACAATTATGGGCACTCTGTATTTTATTGAATTTACAAGTCAACTGTATGATAGCCTACAGGACAGTCAGTAAGAAAACTGCAAATCCAGTGGTACTACAGTCAGATACAGAGAAGTGCAAGCAAAGGTAGGTGAGGAGCTCAAAACGTCCTGTGGACATTTACCACCGCCACACT